AGGTTTTTAAGCTTGTCTACCATTCTTTGCTCAGCAAAATAGAGGTTTTTAAGCTTGTCTACCATTCTTTGCTCAGCAAAATAGAGGTTTTTAAGCTTGTCTACCATTCTTTGCTCAGCAAAATAAAGGTTTTTAAGCTTGTCTACCATTCTTTGCTCAGGAAAATAAAGGTTTTTAAACTTGTTTATCATTCTTTGCTCAGCAAAATAAATAATTTCCACTTTGTTTACCATTTCCTGTACATAAAAACAGTTTTTTACTTCGTATACCATTTCCTGTACAAAAAAAAAAAATAAACATCCTCAACTTTACCTCTGAACAAGGAACTGATGACAAAGTCATAAACATGTCTGTCTCACATTTGCGCTTACATAAAGTACTTAGAAGGGAAAATTTATTTTCAAAAAAAAGTTTCTAAAATACTTTTTCCTAATCAGTAAAGAATTTTAGAAAGTGTCGGAAGGTGTTTATTAGGTTATACGAGTCGAGTGTAGCTCAAGAAGGTTCAGTCTACCCACGCAACAATGAGTCAAAGCCATGAAGCCAACACCCTTTTCGGGTTATTTCCCTCATTCTATACAAATATGGCAGAGATGTATAACCCCCGCAGGTATAATACATGCCAATGGAGCAGGGATGTATTTGTTAGCGTGTTAAACTAACACGTAAAAACATTTTTAAAATGGGTGGCGCAGCTCAAAAGCCAGAAATTAGGTTAATGATATTTTAACACGTTGTACAGGAAATATTAAAAAATATGAGTGCCATCATCAACTTTTTGCAGAGTAATCTTGAAAATTTATTGTGTTCTAGAGCAAAATTTGCATCTGGCGTGCATTTTTAAGTGGTAACTTTGGCATTTTTGCAGCTGTGTGAGCTGTTAGACTTAGTTATGGAGCAGGGATTACAGTAGAACACCTTCAACAATTCATCAATTCGAGACAAAATGATGAAAACACAAAAAATTTCCTCATTTTTTCCTCTTTTTTGGCAGCTGAAAAAGTAAAGATGTTACTTAATGATACCACTCGACTGTTGCAAGAGATAGAAAAAGCTGTTTATATCCGTTCTTCACATATAACGAGGTAAAACGTGATCGATGCCTGAACCAAGAAGAACAAGAAGAAGAAGACAAAAAAAGAACTTGCCCTTGAGGAGGAATCTCTGCTGTACTTTGCATCTTGACCCATTTTTAGAAAACTATTCGACTTGATAAACTACTCACATTTAGAGGAAAAATGTAGCAATATATATACCCCAATCTCGCCTAGATTAATGAGGTTCAGTTTGATAAATATCGCACCGATTTCGAGAGATCTGAATATAAAGTTTGCTTAAGAAGCTAGTAATTTAGTTGCTAAAGGAAAAAAAAAATAACTTATGTTGAATGTCAGGAGTTATTTTCGAACGAAATCCACGTGTTTTTCCTTAATAGGAACAGGTTTGTCAGCTTCGGGTGCCTTATTCTTCCTATAAAAGTCGAGAATTGAAAGCTTCTTCGTATGAGGTTATGGTTAAGGTTTCTTGAAAAGATTTACATAACAGCTAAACAATCAGCATATCAGGGCCCCATTATTTGATAGAGGGGAAGGGCCTATTATACGTTTTAACTTATGACCACAAGTCTAAGTTCAGCCTTGTTTATAAAGGCTAAACTTATAAATTCAGGCGTAGTATATAATTATATAATTGGCCTAAATTTTTCAATATTTAAGGCTCTGAAAAGAAATTAAATGGAATTTTATTTCTATTTATAGGGCCTATATATAGAAGTGATGCAAACATTACAGGAAATACAAAGAACAAGTTTTTCTTCGTTTATTATTTCCTTGTCTTATAAATAATATTAAAAACCTTTCAAAATAAGAAAATTAATATGGACCAACTCCTTGGCGAGGACGTTTGATAAAGTAGGAAACGTTAGGAAAAAAAATAACTGGAACAAGTTATGCCTCGGGTCGTGAAGGAAAACTTGTTTAGAAATTGCATTGTTTATAAAATGGAGTAGATTATTAAAAAAAAAGAAAAAATTATTTAGATTTTCATTAAGGGTAGATTTTAAATTAGTTTATCTACCGATCTCTGCGCCATTTTTTTGTATATCGTCTTCATTTTCCTGCATTGATGCCAGCTTCGTCATTACCATTAAAGATGGAACCGATAAGAAACCGATATGATAATTTTAGGCGTATTTATTCGTCAACCCACTCCAATAAGTGCTGGGAAGTACAGGGAACGGCTTTACTGCACACTGTGGGGAGACACCTGTCAGCATCAGACTCGATGCCAAGTTGGATTTCCTTGGCCTAATTTAAGGGCTCGAGTCAAGATGTAAGACCCATTTATTAGTAATTTCCTCTCGAGTTCGGGTCAAAATGTCGAATATAAAGTTTATAATATATACCTAACACGTGTTATAAGAGGATAAATCTCTTAAAATGACGACGTAAGTCGTAAATAACATCATAAGTTAGTACGGTACTTCTTCTATAGGTAATTTTTTTTCATATTAATTAGGCCCATTTCTTTTGTTTGGGATTAATTAAAGGTAGACATACTTCATACAAATAATTTTTATCTCTCATTAATGGCATTCCGCATCAAAAAATGAGGTCAAGGATAACAATCTCGATTGAATGTATAGATGAAGACACTCAGGGTGAAGGGCGTGCAAGGTTGTCCTACTGAGGAAAAACATCTTGAATTGTAAAAATTAAGTTTGGATATAGTAACACACGCTGATGAGAGGGTAAATACAATAATTGACACAATAAAAAACTGTTGCGAGTCCGAGTAGGTGATGTTTAAAGTTGTCACGACTCGACGACTTTTAATGACTATAATCCAGTGTAGAAGTTAGACAATGATTGTTAAGCGCACACGGCGATAAACAGGCGTGAATATTCAACGGACGGTAAAATAACACAAGCTAAATTTAGTATCGATACGATCTTAAGTCATAATCCCCCAACATACTGACCTTATATTATAAAAAAAATCGTTATTCTTTCAGGATGTTCGCCTGACGAATTTCAATGTCGAACTGGGTTGCAGTGCATCGATAACAACAAACTGTTCGATGGGTGGAACGATTGTCTGGATGGCTCAGATGAAGGTGAGTGATGATAAGCATCGAAGGTGATGATGAGATTAAGAGCTTCTTTCATAGAAGAAAGAGAAACAAATAAATTTTAAAATAAAATTGGAACACTTATTCTAAATTTTTTATTGTTTAATTGTGTGGAAAGATGGCTGTTTAACATGATCCCACGCAAAAAAAAAAGTGTCGAGTGCTCCGTTTATTATCTATTCAATTGATAATCGTGTTAAAACCGGGTCGAGAATTCATCTCTCGTATTAAACAATTGAAATTCAAATTAAATTTTATATAAGATGAGAATATATTGTTTATTTCGTTCCGTTCGACAGTAGGAAATTGCTGAAATGGCAAGAGAATTGGTGGGGGGGTTAAAGATTTAAATCACTCCTTAAGTTACGCTTCAATTGTTCGGGGCAAACGAAAATTGTCGATATTAAACTAGTGTTTCCATATCATTGATGATTCTCAAAGGGTTTTTATATGTTAAATTTAATTTTTTTTTAGTGTGTTCGGATGGTCAGTTCAAGTGCAATTGCGGAAAACCTGTTTGCATCGATGAGAAACACGTGAAAGATGGGGTCAAGCATTGCGAAGATGGTTCTGACGAAGGTTAATATAGTTAAACAATTGAATAAAATTGCGGATTAAAATATTTTTGTATTAATATTTTTATATAATTTGGTAGAAAATTCGATCAGGAAGGGAATTTGTGACTTAAAAAATAATAATGTCGAAGATTTAATTGCCATGGAAAGGAAGAAGAGACAAGCAGGTGAGTGTCTTTTGTTTTTTTTTTAAGTAAAATTTGCTTTAAAGTATAAAATATTCGTTAAAAGAACAATATATTTAAGCGAAAGTATTAATTTTCACAACTTGTAACGTGATATAAGTTGTAGTTTTATTTACTAGGCGAGGCAGTTTATATACACCCTTAACTTCCTACAATGAATGGTGGGTGATGCTGTGAACACTTTCCTTATTCTCGGCTCATTGACATATTTTCTAAGAAAGATTTCGTTTCACGATTTAAGTCATTGTATCTTAATAAAACCCTCCTTACATAATCAAATTTCATAAATAAAATCTTGATTATCTTATGCAAATATATTGTTCTTTTAACAGAAGTGCAGCAACGTGCTGTTAGCCATAAATTTTAATTAATGAAGCGGGAAAGTGTAAGCGCGATTATTATGTAAATTTTAGGGAATTTAAACTGTTCGGTTATTCTATTCTGTTCTTAAACTATCCTTTAAACTTTCGTACTGTTTTTTATGAGAAAGATCTTTTCTTGGTATCGGGTTACTCAGTGCCTACCTGTTCTTCTCGCGAACAGATGGCGACCTCAGGCCTACAGGCCTTCTGACGGCCACAACCCAGTTTGAAATTAGGGGAGACAAAACAACACGTTTCGTCACAGAAGTGTATGGTACTTACATCGCCAATAACTATGCCAAACTCTTTAGTACCCGCATCAGTGCCTATAGAGACATTGCCAATCCAAGTGAACTTGGCCAAAAGACTCAGGGATATTCTACTGTAGCCATTTCTCCCTCGATAAACGAGATAGAAAAATCGAAAACCGTTTATGGCGTCAGTAGGATAACCGAAACGTTCAATTCTCTAACGTCTGGTAAAGTGTACCAAACTGCAGTAAACGAATTGGCTTCTTCAGTCACATCCAACACTCATCACGTAAACAGTGGTGAAAACGAAATTAGGAGCTTTCAAGTTTCCAATATGATTAGCTCCAGACATAAATCAGGCGATGCTGACATCGGTTACAACACAAAAAGATACAATCCCGAGCTTGCAACACCCCCATTAGTTCAGCATCCTGGTGTTAGTACCATAACAGTCGCTGCTGCCGGTGTCAACAGCTATACAGTTGGAGGAAGTAAGAGCAATGAAGATTTTGTAGTTTATGCCGTACAAGATGGTATAGTTTTAGATACGGCCGATAGTATAACGGCCGGTAGAATTGGTGCCATACGAGCCACTGGTACATTTAAAGGAAGAGCTTATCCTGATATTCCAGTTACTTATAGAGAGCCACGTCTTCTTGGTCGAAAGATTGATTCTGATTTAACTGAGAACAAATCAGAATCGAAGCCAAAGCAAGAGGCCAGTCAAGAAAATAAGAAAAGTGTGCCAAACGACACTGATAAGCAGTTAAACAAAGCATTTTCTTCATTATACGATGATAAATTGAACAATTCAACACAAATGGAATCGATGGAGAGGCTGACACTTTTTGGATTTGTAGAATTCACCACGACAATATCAGGAACAGAAGTAGTGTTTATGCCTTCTACTACGGATGCCAAAAATAAATATCACTTGACACCCGTTCAGAAGACGAAAAGTAGTAAAAATATTAAAAAACTCGAGAATACAAGCCCAGAATCTACTACCGCAACGGTTAGGAATACACCAGCTTTGAGTATAACACCCACAAAATCTATAATTTTAACAGAAACATTTACAAAATCTAAGATTTTAACTGAAACACCCACTGTTTTAGAGACAGAAACATCTAAGAAATCTAAGATTTCAACTGAAACACCCACTGTTTTAGAGACAGAAACATCTAAGAAATCTAAGATATTGATAGAAACACCCACTACATTAGAAACAAAAACATTAGAGAGCCAAATAGATGTCATATCGCCTAGTTTCAGCAGCATAGAAACGAACACAATTTCAGTTACTCCAACCTCATCCTTTACAGAAAACGAAACCGATCCAAATAAAATTAGCGTAGATGAAAGTAAAAATCCATCGAACCAATTAGAAACTACAATGACACAAGTGAAATCTACCATTCCTGACAGTAGCTTATCCGAAGTAACAGGGCTAGTGAATTCCATAACTGGTACAGAAATTCAGAATGGGGTAACCACCCACTGGACCACTATGATTATAGGTACGCACATTAGTGGAACATACGCACACATAGTCCAGAGCACTTCTAGCATATTTTTTACGTTACCATCGACGACAAGCGCAAATACAGTAGGCACAACTTCCATCCTGACAGGAAGGTCAGTTGGAGAAGATGAAGGTGTGATTAATGATTTATCTTCTATCTTTAATTCATCAGAAGTAATTAATGACTATGTATCTCCCTCTCGATCGCTCGAACTCGTTAATAGTGCATCAGTTGATCCCTCCGATAAGTCCGATAGTGATTCATTAATAATTGTTAATGCCACGGAGCAGGAAGTGGAACACCCTAAAGTTTCGGTGCTGACGGATAATTTTCTAACATCTCAACTCGCTTCGAATAATGAGGATCTGTTAGAGCTGCAAAGTATCCTTATTCAGCCAACGAAATCCAGTGATTATCTGGAAATGTCAAGCAGTGAATTAATACTGTCTGATCTTACCTCCCCTCACGTAGAGCCGGAAATAATGAAAGACTCTAGCAAAGTTTTGTCAAGTGATAACATCAAAAGCGCACATTCAACAATTTTAACTAATAGTTTTATTTTACCGAGTGAATTACCACCAACCGAAGCTCGACAGGTAACATCAGATACGTTATCAACGACCTCGCATATACAAACGCCCATTTTGGAAGAAGTAAACTCTCGCCAACCCAAACGTCTACAGTACACTACCCTCACTTTCTTTACAACTTATCGCAGCGGTGATCAATACTCAACATCTAGCAGAATTGTTACCTTGAGCAACTACTATGAAGATACTCAAAACTCCGGAACACAAACATCAATCAGCGTAACGGAGCCAGCAAAGTTACATAGTAATTATCCCACTCTTTCGGATGCAGTGAGGCCAACGACGTACTTTACTACATTCACGTATTATACTACACTTTATAAAGATAATACGACTTCAGTTAACAGCAGAAAAGAAACTGTAAGCAGAATAGTTGGCGGTGATGCTACAAAAGATTCGAAGCATACATTACGTACGAAAATCGTTAGAGGACCCCAAACGCACTTGATTACCAATTATATAGTGCCCGTAACACCTACACCGTCCTTAACACTTCAACGAACTACTTATTTTACCACTTACACTTATTACACGACTATACATAAAGGAGGGAGCACAGTGATCAAAAGCAAAACAGAGGTGTTATCGAACGTCATAACAGGCACGCCTAAAAGCACGATCTCAGTTCGTCCCACATCTTCGACACCGATTCTTCCTTCCGTGACAACACAGCTCACTACTTACACTTTCTTTACTACATTATATCACGAAGGTAGTAGCTACGTTTCTAGTAGAGAAAGTACCTTTACTAACCTCATCACGAGTACGAAATCCACTACAAACACTCCCACTCCCAAACTTAGAACTTCTATCAAAACATCGTTTATTACTTTGCTTTATGATGATACTTCGACAGTAACGACATTTTATGAGACAATTGTGAAACCTGCAAAAGAATTTATTACATCTTCAACAACATCCAAAACTAAAGAATCTGCTTTGCAAACTTTAGAAAAGCTAACCAAACACAATGATTTACAAACATCCTATTCCACAAGTTTATACTTAATAACTCTTTTCTCGGGAGGTACGTCAACTGTCAGTACAAAGACTGTAACATTGACTAACTTGGCATCTACTGTTGCTACTACACACTCGCAACAGCTTAGTATCTCCGCTACACCAACGTTAACAACACTTCAAACTGATGACAAACCCTACACCATTCGTTCATCAAAACACGAAACTACAATTTTCGCTGAAGAACCCAAACCGGAGAAGATCACTAAATCAACAGATACAAAGAAACACTACTCGACTTACACTTACTCTGTTACACTTTTCTCCGAAGGCACATCTACGATAAGCACCTTAACAGAAATTGTGAGTAATTCAGTAACACCTACAGCTGTATCGGCGCTTCAGCAAATTACACCAACAAATAAAAATTTAGAAGTAACGCAGCAAACTACTTTAACCTTTTATACGACCCTATTTAGCGGTACAACGTCAAAGATTATTAGCAATACCGAATACATAACGAATGTAGTCACCCTCACAGAACCAAAACAGAGCATCGCAGCAACCGAAACTTTAAAAGATATTAGCGAATTAGGGGTAGAAGATCTGGTAGCTCAAGCTGACGAGTTGCACCCTCTGTTGCCCTCTCCTATTACCTTATACACGACTTACACGTATTACACTACAAAAGACAATGGTAAAAAGAAAACAGTCGATACAAGATACGTAGTAGTGTCAGATGTTCTAGACCATCCCCCGCGGCTACAAAACACGGATAAGAGTATAATTCCCTCAGTTGAGCGTGGTAAGATTTCAGTAACTCCTACTCAAAGAACTAATTATAATACATACACTTACTACACTACAAATATTATTAATGGTTCCCCGGTTATTACTACCAGAATAGAGACAAAAACAAAAATTATTCCCGAAGAGAAAATTATAAGTTCTCGTCGAAACAAGCTTGATCCAGTCCATTTTATTGATGATGATAATAAGAGCCAAAGAACGAATTATCATTCAATAACACAAAATGGTTTTGTTACACATCCAGATGTTGCTGATCCGCCAGAATCTCAGACAATTCATCACGTTCTTGGACGAAAATTACTCTCTGAACAGGAAGTCATTGATGCTACTCCTACTCTAAAGTCAACGACTCCATCAGATGCTGAGGAACTAAACAAATCAAATAGTACACATGAAAGTAGAATGGATTCTTTTTCAAATTCTTCAAGCGAAACTAGCAAAACAACTGATTTATCTGAAAATATTCTTGATAATTTATCAATTACGAGTTCTTTTGATGGGGTAAGCAGCGAAATAAAATCTTCAATCTCACCAACTCCTCAGTTAAAAATTCAAACAACTGAATCAATATCTTCAAGCAAAAATAAAGTAACAGAAATCCATACTTCCGAAATGATGACAAATATTACTAGTGTAGAAGTATCACCTACTCTTAAAGAAAATTCGACAAAATACGAAGCTGCAGAAGCCCAGCATCATCAAAAAGTCGTGAAACCTTTCCCCGTAACGCATTATACAACATACACATATTTCACAACAATTCTGAAACCTGGCGGAGGAACTTTAATCACGAGTCACCTAAAAGTTGAATCCTCTACTGCTAATAATATTCTACCGACAAGAAGTAATCATATTCAAAGAACAAAAACTCCCCAATCTATACACGGAAATAGAAAAATCAATTCGTATCCTTCTAGAGCTTATCACTTGCATCCATCCAGAGGCTTGCCAACAACTTATACCACTTATACCTATTACACAACTAAATTTATCAATGGTAGGACGATTGTAGACACTCGATACGAAACTATAACAAACGGTGTCATCAACAGAAGAGAATATATACAACCCACAAGAGCGAATCACCTTGATTATGACAAGCATAGAACTACATATACTTATCATACAACCAGATTCAGAGATGGTACAGCTTTAGTCAACACCAGAAAACAGACCGTAACTAACCCTGCATACGTGCATCGACATACCCAACCTTTGCGTTCTTACAGTACTCATTCACACCCCTACAGATTTTCCAACGGTCGACATTGTCCCGGTTGTCAAGCTCAAGCAAATAACGCAGTACATCGCAATTCTGCTCATCGAAGACTTCCACATAATTACCCAAACACTTTTTTGACAAGCGTACCTGTAAAGAGATTGAAGCCTAATTACCGATCATTAACTGGTTCTTTACAGCATATTACATATACCGCACCTCCGATACACAAACCTGAAGAGGCACAGCGATACGAGCATACCATAATACCCACACGTTCCACTTACTACACAACTTATACGTATTTCACAACCATCCTGAAGCCCGGAGGAGGTACCGTCGTTAGCAGTAACATTAAAGTTGAGTCATCTGTAGGCAATAGAATATTACCTACTAGAGTAGATCACGTGCATCGCACCAGAATCCCAACACACGGACACAACGAAAGAGTTACCATTTATCCCTCCAGAAGAACACACGGACATCCTCGTTACGACACTGCACGCACAACGTATACATATTTCACTACACATTTCGTTAACGGTAGAACGAGCGTCGATACCAGATACGAGACTATAACAAACGTCATTACAACTACAATAACAGAAGGAGATCGTCATATTCATCCCACAAGAATCATACGTCCAGGAAACATTCCGCACGATGTACACCGTACCACATATACTTACCATACGACAAGGTTTAGAGACGGAACAGCAATAGTTAACACTCGAAGACAAACGGTGACAAACGCTCACCCCGATATAGCGCATCGGCACACGTACACTGGATCTTACAATACGCGAGCTGCTTATCGACCATCGTTCTCTTCTGCTAGATACGATCCTGCTGTCGCTCATTGCCACTCTTGTGATGATGCTAGACCAAGACGTCCGTCAGCTCGATCTCACGGGGCACGTCGTATTCACGCTGAACACACCATTGCAGTGCCTAATCAACTGGTCAAACCGCATCCCGTAACACACTATTCGACTTACACATATTTTACGACGTCTCTAATAAATGGTTCGCCCGTTGTTTCGAGTCGCAAAGAAACAGTTACCCAAGTTCTTTCGGATGTTGTGGTACCAACACTAGTTCCTTTATCTGGGTCCGCAAATAACATACACAGCCAACACAGAAGAGGTAAGAGAAGAGTTGGAAGACGTTTGTTAAGTGAAAATGATGACGTGGTTTATGTGACGGCTACTATAATAGATTTGGCATCTCAACAGCCAATTTTCCCGTCTGTGACTATAGCAGATTCATCTAATATATCAAAATTTCCACAATCTTCCCCATCTGCATCAGTAGAGTCCGTAACAGAAGATGGAAGCAGATCAGTAACTGATAGTGACGATAAAAATTCGTTGCATTTAGAAACCGTACATTTATTATCAAGCGTGTTGAATACAGTAACAGTTGAAACAACACAAAACAGCTTGAATAGTGTTGTAATCGTAACACCTAATTTACCTGAAGAAATGGTGAGATCTTCGAAAAGTTTACTTAGTGGAGAAGACATTAAAACAACACCCATCAATGATCAAACAGTAACAGAAATTAGAAGCGTAACAGGCGGCACTGTAAATACAGAAGAAAGTAATTCTGGTATAGAAATAAATAAAGAAAATTTAACTCTCTCTCTCGAAGACAGTTCAGTAGATACTGCCAATAAAACTGAACACAAAGGTGATTTTAATGATAAAATTCAACCATCAAAAATAAACAGAACAGATAAATTTGATCCCTCACAACAAAATTTGACGAACAATTTCGACAATAAGATTAACTTCCCCGTAGAACTACACGAGGCAGAAGCTATAAATAGGAGATACGACATTCGCCCGACACCCGTTACTCATTACACAACTTACACATATTTCACTACAATTTTAAAGCCCGAAGGTGGCACAATAGTAACAAGTCATCTTAAAGTAGAATCGTCGATAGCCCATAATATCCTACCGACTAGAACAGATCACATTCATCGTATAAGAACCTATCCGTCGAACGAAAATAGAAGAATATCACCTTCCAGAACGCGTGTACATTCATATCTCTCTAGAAACGATAAACCGACTGTTTATACTACTTACACCTATTATACAACAAAGTATATTAATGGCAGAACAACAATCTCAACCCGATACCAAACAATCACAAACGTTATTAGTGCTACAGTAAGAGATAGAAATCATTATATACGACCCACTAGAGTGACACAACGACACGACTATAATCATCCCGATGTTCACCACACTACTTATACGTACCATACGACCAGATTCAGAGATGGTACAGCTTTAGTCAATACTAGAAAAGAGACCGTAACTAACCCTGCATACGTGCATCGACATACCCAACCTTTGCGTTCTTACAGTACTCATTCACACCCCTACAGATTTTCTAACGGTCGACATTGTCCCGGTTGTCAAGCTCAAGCTAATAATGCAATTTATAGAAGTTCTGCACATCGAAGACTTTCACATAATTATCCAAATACTTATTTAACAAGTGTTCCTTTGAAGAGATTAAAACCAAATTATCGATCATTAACTCGTTCTTTACAGCATATTACACATACCGCACCTCCGATACACAAACCTGCAGCGGCACAGCGATACGAGCATACCATAATACCCACACGTTCCACATACTACACAACTTATACGTATTTCACAACCATCCTGAAGCCCGGAGGAGGTACTGTCGTTAGTAGTAACATTAAAGTCGAGTCATCTGTAGGCAATAGAATATTACCTACTAGAGTAGATCACGTGCATCGCACCAGAATTCCAACACACGGACACAACGAAAGAGTTACCATTTATCCCTCTAGAAGAACACACGGACATCCTCGTTACGACACTGCACGCACAACGTATACATATTTCACTACACATTTCGTTAACGGTAGAACGAGCGTCGATACCAGATACGAGACTATAACAAACGTCATTACAACTACAATAACAGAAGGAGATCGTCATATTCATCCCACAAGAATCATACGTCCAGGAAACATTCCGCACGATGTACACCGTACCACATATACTTACCATACGACAAGGTTTAGAGACGGAACAGCAATAGTTAACACTCGAAGACAAACGGTGACAAACGCTCACCCCGATATAGCGCATCGGCACACGTACACTGGATCTTACAATACGCGAGCTGCTTATCGACCATCGTTCTCTTCTGCTAGATACGATCCTGCTGTCGCTCATTGCCACTCTTGTGATGATGCTAGACCAAGACGTCCGTCAGCTCGATCTCACGGGGCACGTCGTATTCACGCTGAACACACCATTGCAGTTCCTAATCAATTGGTCAAACCGCATCCCGTAACACACTACTCGACTTATACATATTTTACGACGTCTCTAATAAATGGTTCGCCCGTTGTTTCGAGTCGCAAAGAAACAGTTACCCAAGTTCTTTCGGATGTTGTGGTACCAACACTAGTTCCTTTATCTGGGTCCGCAAATAACATACACAGCCAACACAGAAGAGGTAAGAGAGGAATTGGAAGACGTTTATTGAGTGAGAAAGATGACGTTGTTTACGTGACAGCTACATTACTAGACGATTCTTCTTATGACCATTCTGATATGCCATCATTTATTACTCCATACGAGCCAAAGGTGTCAAATCAATCAAAGGAATCATCGTCGATATCCTATAATTCAGATTCTGTTAGTAAAACAAATGGCAAAATGCCAGTTTTACAGAGCACAATACGTACTGCTGATTCTAGTTTTAAAATTGATCAAATACAATCGTCAATGGTATTAAGCACAGTCGAAGATGAAATTAGTGACGTATTATCAAAAGCTTCTACACCGATATTAAATTTTGCGCCATCAGAATTAACTTTGAAATCGAAAATTGTTATTGAGAATCAAACGTCTTCCATTCAAGAATCAGAGAAACAAACATCGAATGTTAATTTAATAGAAAGTTCAATGTCAATCATTCAAGAAAGTTCAACGTCATCTTTAAATGAGCGCAATTCTATATTAGACAGTGCTTTGATATCATCCGCAACGGACAGTGCTTTGATATCATTCGCAACGGACAGTGCTTTGATATTATCCGCAACGGACAGTGCTTTGATATCATCCGCAACGGACAGTGCTTTGATATCATCCGCAACGGACAGTGCTTTGATATCATCCGCAACGGACGGTGCTTTGATATCATACGCAACGGACGGTGCTTTGATATCACCCGCAATGGACAGTGCTTTGATATCACCCGCAATGGACAGTGCTTTGATATCATCCGCAACGGACAGTGCTTTGATATCACCCGCAATGGACAGTGCTTTGATATCATCCGCAATGGACAGTGCTTTGATATCATCCGCAAGGACAGTGCTTTGATATCAACCCCAATATTGGATCGACAACAATATGTTACTAATGTTAATAATCAACAAATGGAAATTAAAATTCATCAAAATTTTACAGAAGATTCCAACATCAATGAGACAGAATCGATAAAAGTGTCGTTAAATGAAAGTGTAACATTTAAAGATAACAAGATAAACTTTCCTGTTGAATTACAAGGTGCTGAAGCTATAGGTCCAGTATCAATAACGCGGTATCATCCTAAAATAGATTCGTCTGATAATCGTAAAATTTTACCGGATAGAAATTACCTCACTAGGCATACCACTTTAATAAGAAATATAAACAGCTATAGCCGTCCTCAACATAACCACATTTCAGATATCCACCGCACCACTTATACCTATCACACGACCAGGTTCAAAGATGGCACAGCTATAGTCAATACTCGAAAAGAAACAGTAACTAATGCATACGTGCAACATACTCAACCACAACGTTCATACAGCACTCACTCACACCCCTACAGATTTTCCAATGGTCGACATTGTCCCGGTTGTCAAGCTCAAGCAAATAATGCAGTACATCGCAATTCTGCTCATCGAAGACTTCCACATAATTACCCAAACACTTTTTTGACAAGCGTACCTGTAAAGAGATTGAAGCCTAATTACCGATCATTAACTGGTTCTTTACAGCATATTGCACATACCGCACCTCCGATACACAAACCTGAAGAGGCGCAGAGATACGAGCATACCATAATACCCACACGTTCCACTTACTACACAACTTATACGTATTTCACAACCATCCTGAAGCCCGGAGGAGGTACTGTCGTTAGCAGTAACATTAAAGTCGAGTCATCTGTAGGCAATAGAATATTACCTACTAGAGTAGATCACGTGCATCGCACCAGAATTCCAACACACGGACACAACGAAAGAGTTACCATTTATCCCTCTAGAAGAACACACGGACATCCTCGTTACGACACTGCACGCACAACGTATACATATTTCACTACACATTTCGTTAACGGTAGAACGAGCGTCGACACCAGATACGAAACTATAACGAACGTCATTACAGCTACAATAACAGAAGGAGATCGTCATATTCATCCCACAAGAATCATACGTCCAGGAAACATTCCGCACGATGTACACCGTACCACATATACTTACCATACGACAAGATTTAGAGACGGAACAGCGATAGTTAACACTCGAAGACAAACGGTGACAAACGCTCACCCCGATATAGCGCATCGACGCACTTACACTGGCTCGTACAGTACCAGAGGTGCGTATAGACCATCGTTTTCTTCTCCGAGATACAATCCAGGTTACAGAGATTCTTGCCCATCTTGTGACCAGACGAGACAAATTTATTCTCGTTACCGTGCAATTAATCACGATCATCACAGGCAAAGGATAATCGATCGCCATCGGAAGCCACACTACGAGGACAACATAGGAAGAACTGCTGTCGAATCAACACCTGTGACGCCACTGACATTTTATACCACTTACACAGATTTTACAACCACATTGCTGAATGGATCACCCGTCGTGAAGAGCACAGAAAGAACTTACACCGACATTATATCAAATATAGTTGTTCCCACATTAGCAACTATAGCTCCAACGGGCAGTAGTCGCTCTTACAGGCTTTCTGGAAATGCCAGGTATAAACGTGAAGTGGAACCGATCGAGTCAATTGCTGATACCCCTCAGAAAAACACAACGATTTTCGGAAATGAAAATATGATTAACAGTGCAAGTTTTCAGACTGTCAACCTAAGTCCATCAGTAGGATCTACAGAAGCAGAACCTGCGAGCCATCCTCTTGGATTACTTTCTAGTATAACAAATTCAGTAATATCTAATGGGATTACTACACTTTTTACTACAAAAATTTTTGGCACATTCTTGAATGGTCTCTATGCTCATTTTGCATCAACAACTTCGACAACAGTTCCCATTGAATCTGCAAAAAGCACCGAACCTACAACTACTGACAAATCTAGCAAAACTGGTTTGGTATCCAGTCATACCTCACGAGTAACTACAAATGGCAAAACTATAGTATACACTACAAACATATATGGGACATACATTGCTGGAGTATATGCACAGAGTGCCAGAACTACATCCAACTTATTAATGCCTACTTTATCATCCTCAACACGATTAAATTTTCCTGTTCTTTCTAATGAAATAAATCCGAAACGAAGTGATATTACAACAGTGCAAAGTTTAACAGTGAAAGAGTCAGTTACACCAATAGTAAGCGTGAAAAAAGAAGTGTCGAGCACGATGCCATCATCAGTTGTAAAGATATTAAAAACGTCACACCCCATGGGGATCTTGTCGACCTCTCTTCTGAGAAGTAAAGTTAGCCCGCAAGGAACCACAGTTTATTACTCAGAAATAGTTGGCACTCTGATTAATGGAATATATGCACACGTGGGGAGAACTGCATCTAAAGTAATACCAGTTACACCGACGCACAAAGTTGGCTTGATAGCTGCAGTAACAGAAACGGAAGTGAATGATAAAACAACAATTTTGCACATCACAGAAACTCGAGGGACGTATCTGAATGGAATCTACGCTCATGTTGTAGTTAGCAGTAATCATATCCCCACTCCTACTAAAAACATCCCTATGATGACTAAAATGCCATCATCTGTAATAGAAGCATCTTATTCCGAAAATAAGTTAACAGAAGGAAAACACGAGACACCAAGTTTAGTCGGTGTTAACGTTAAAAGTCACGTAGTTGTGGAAGATAGTTTACTTTCTGACAAAATTTCACATATAACAAATTCCGAATCGTCTCACGTCAGACATAAAAGAACACCAAGATTTCAACTCTCGAAAAGACCAAGTAGAGTATTTGGAAGAAGTTCTTCGCAGAGAGCGTCAAAAACAACAGGATATCGAAGTAACAAAAGCAGAGTCTCCCCTTCTAGAGTGAGATCTACGTACAGCCCTTCATCATCATCAACTAGAAAATTGAATTTTCCTTTAAGAAGGCCAACAAGAGCTGGAAGATCTAGTGTACCTAATCAAAAATTAAGAAATAAAAAGGATGATGATATCTACGAGGCGAGTGAGGCCGTAGTTCGTTCAGTAACACCGCAATTATTACCAAGTAGAAGACCAAGACCCTTATTGCGTAGTCGTCCAAGCTTACCCATCAAACCCACTCAACCAAAACCACCACCACCAGAAACAGTTCAAAGTACAGAAACTAAATCAAGTAAGAAAACATTCACCCGAACCAGAACTTATGATTACAGTTTGCCTTCTTCCAGTAAGACACAAGAACAACAAACTCAGAGTACCGTTAAAGTAGAAAATGTTTTATTAAAAGGAAAAAGGCCTCCTAGCTTAATTCAAAGAAGAGCCAAGCAGAATATTGATGAAGATTTAGATGATTTTGATTTGTCTCTGAGAACAAGCACCAAACGCCCTACACGTCCTAATAAGAGAAGATATGGTACATCACGTGGACGTCAGCCATTTTTGCAATCATCCTTCACTACAACTAACGAGATAGGGGATTCGATTTCCTTACCACTTCCACCTTTAGGACTGTCGAGAGGAGTTAGAAAAAGGCCAACATTTGATCCTAGAACCATAAAATCTTCATCTACGATCCAGACGATCCATACAAGAACATTAAGTAGTGAAATTTTTGATATTGATCCTACAAGTAAACTCCCAGTAACTATCATGTCGTTGGTGACTACAGTCAAACAATTACCAGTCATCGTAGGGTTTCGTACGTCCACAGCAACTATAACGACTACTGTTTATGAATCGAGTATTATACTACCACACGAATATACAACTGTGGTGAATGGGGACTCAACGAAATCAATTTTTTCAACCACTACTGGAATTCCAGAATTGGGCTCCAACGATAAGGATACAATATTTACAGAAGTATTAATTACAACAGCAACTGTTTACACCACAAAATTACAACCAATCAAAATCGGTTTCGGTACCCGTACTGACACCCTTATCGACGTACAGATTATAAATACATTAACTACAAGTTACAACACTATCGGAGGGCCATCTTTAGCACAGCAATATCCATTTTTTAACTTTCCTCAACAACAATTTAATCCCTTCATGCCATTTCCTCAACAGCAGGGATACGCATTGACAACATCGGAAAATTCTTTCGTAACTACAGAAACTATTCTTTCTACTAAAGTTTTACCAATATATCGTCAAGGTAAAACGATATACAGTACAATAACATCAACATCAACTTCTGAATCTATAGTAGTAAAAACTACAACAGTACCAGTACCACAAGTACCCCAGGTTCCTCACGGTGGTGCCTTCATAATTCCCCAACCTTATTTCATTATACCTCCAGTAACGACACAAATTACGGTTTCCGTTACTGGTGCAAACGGACAAGTTATATCAGCAGTTACTACAGTGACAATACCAATCTATCCTCAAATGCCTCATGCGGGTTTTCACGGAAGATTTCCTCGAAGTGTGAGAAGTACACCTAGTGAAAATTATCAAATGACTAAAACCACAGATCCTACAAGTGTTAATGACGAAACAGAATGGACTGACGAATCACAATTTGATAATCTTTTACGTTCTGGACTGCGAGAGGTGCATCAAGAATTTATTTCTCATCCTACAGAAAATTTAAATTCGGTTCAAACTGAAGAACCAGATACAAGATGGATATTTTCATCAAAATCATTAACTGAAGGTCATGAACCGAGCGCTGTTGTTGATTATTTTGATAGTGGTGACAATTTCGATGATAACTATGAAGTGGTTCGGTTTAGAGGAAGAAAACTGCAGCAATTCTCTGAAGAAGAAGCAGTGGAAGAAGAAGAAGATGATGATGAAGACATTTTTCAATCTTCAGAGACTTTACCAAGTTCTTCATCACTTTTTCTATCCGAAACAAAGAATATAACAGAGGAAACACCTTCTGAATATTTCTCGTCTCTTGTTCCTCTTGTTTCTCTTGACTCTACTTCTCCTTCAATCCTGACTTCTTTTCAAGTTTCCGAAGTGCTAAACAGCAGTTCTGCTCCAACTGATGTCACTAGATCGGGCAGTTTTCGCAAAATTGTGACTGTTAAACGTGGAAAACATCAAAGTAATTTTACTCGAAGAATCAAAATAACACGAGCGTTTTCTCCAACAGTAGGTCCAACTGAAAGTATACCAACAAGACGAAGAGGTGTCGTTCGTAGGCTAAGACCAGGTACTGGTTACCGTGGTCAAAGAAGGCCTATATACATAAGAAAACACAGGCCTACAAAACTGCCAGAAACTACCCCGTTAGAGGAGGAATTGACATCAGTAGATTACAATTACACAACGGAGCAGGATGATGATTTGACAACAGAACCAACCACTGAAATGATTTCAACCGAGGCACAACCAACTACCAAAAGTCCTGCGGTTAGAATAGTAAAGCTCAGAAGGCCTGCAGGTAAAAACTTTACGGGTAGGAGTAGAATAGTTGTTACCAGAAAATCGACAAGAAAGCCAGTTGAGGAAAGTGTTAGTTTGGTTACATTTGATGATGACGATGATAATGATGATGATGTGATCAGTGTTCCAGATAACGAAGAGAAAAACTCGACGGAGAATCGTTTGCAGCTTCCTATCACTTATTACACCACTTATACATATTTCACAACAGTACTTAATGGACCCATTACTTCATATTTGAGTCGCGAATCAGTCGTGTCAAATGTCGCTACACAGACTTTAGATGATATACTGGTCAGTGTTATCAAAACAAACGGAGGATTTTCTACTCAAACAAACTCATTCATCCCCCTTGGCTCAAAAACTCATGGAACAACTACAACAGTTGTAAATTTTGCGTCACGTTTACAAATCTTCAACCGTGAACTATCTGGAGAAAGTGAGAGTAAGCCCGAGACTGAAACTGAAAGCCTTCCATTACCTTCATCATCACAGGAGAATGAGCAGAGAACTATGGACATATATGAACTAGCCACATTGCCAAAGACTTTTTACACTTTGCTAACTCATTACTACACATTTTACGATGGTTTATCCGTCCGCCATTCGAAAAGAGAAGAAACAGTTTCTGATATAGCAACGGATCCAGCAACATTCTTGCAAAACACGTATACGAGTAGCATAGACGAGAATGGTTACCTTACAGCCCTACCCGAAACTAAATTGTTAAATTTAGGATCTACTGATATCCTTGGTACAATCACTCAAGTCAATTTGGGCTTGAAAACAATTGTGCACTTTGATCAACTTGCCAACGTCGCTGTTTCGGGAGATAGCGAAAACGTGCAACCGACTCAGACTCTAACGTCACAATACAGCCAGCTACCCTATGATAATAGATTGGATCCAACAGAGCCTTTCGCTGACGATCAGCAGTTAATTGCTGAAATTGTGCCATTAGAACCGTCGTACGTTTCTTCTGGACAGCCAGATCGAGCTTTCTTCGACATCACACCAGTCGTTCCTGGAGTTAGTAATGTTCCACCTAGACGTAAAAGTGTTCGAATTATCAGCTCTTTAGTTCAGAAACCCTTAGGTCGATTTAGAAGTAGAGCGTTTCCGTCAAGACCTGGTGTCCGGGTCCGAGTTCGTCCCGCGCTCTCTAGGAGACCCGAAAAAGTGGAAATTTCTTCAAATCTAGATGATCCTGAAGTTCAACCTTCATTCGTTCCTAATCAGCCAAACGTCTACTCTTCGGAACCATATTTACCTTTAGTTGAAAGCTCGTTTAACGATTTCTCTTCGATTTTTGGACTTCCTAGTCTAGCTGAGGACGTAGCATTTGTGGATGTTTCTTCTGATTCTGCTTCCCCAGATGCATATTCTAGCGATTTATTAGAAGATTCCCCAGATTATAATGAAGATCTTCCCGTTCAGCCAACGCCTGTTTTGGAGTTAAATAACGAAGATAAAACAAGTGAAACAGAAACAGATTCAATTCCCAGTTCTTCTGAAGAATCACCAAAGAGTGCAACAGGAAAACGCATCCGAATTATTTTAAGAAAAACACTGACTTCTTCTACAGAAGAAGATTCTTCCACTTTATCATCCGAACAGTTAAAGACCAAACCAAGATTTATTGTTGTCACTAAAACTGGTTTGCAGGGTGGAGTGCGCCCAAGCAATAATAGATTAGTAGTTACACGGCGAATTAGACCTGGCATAAGGACTAAAACTCTTATCAGACCAACCATCACGCAAGAAGATCACACGACAAAAGATTTAGCAACCAGCTCGATAATAATTTCACCAAGTGTGACAATTTCTCCACAAAAATCCAGCCGAACGGAGGCAGTTACCTACTTTACTACAACAACCTTCACGGTTCCAGTTACTGTGGGCGATCAAACATTTTTAAGGACCCTCGAGAAGACTAACTCAAGAGTAGTAACCGAAGTATTTGGTAAGTTGCTATTTTATTCTCATCAAGAATTTCTCACTAAACAGATAATAATTATTCGATTTGCCGTAGCACTAGATACATCTTCGAGCCTTCCTGTTTCGGATATTCCATCGAGAGCAGTACCAACTTATGAGATCCTCCTCAAGCCTTCTATTACTGTCACGGATACTCAATTAACTCAAAGTAGTATTATAGGAATTACCAGTCTACAGGGCGGTCCAGACGGTACAACGACTCACATCGTAACTTCAGGTAAGAAAATGCATTAGAAACAAATACGACTTTAAAACACAAAGCATTCATTTTTGGTTTATTTACCAGAGGACAACGGCCACATCGTGACTTCAATCTTCTATCCTGGTCTAGGAAGTTCGATTGCAGGAACGAAGGTCATTAGAACGAATCAGGAAGGTACAGGATTTACTTCCTTCTACGGAGTCATTCCGGAAAGTGTTCTCGTATCGGGTATGTAATAGATTTCAAACATTTTAACAAATAATTTTATGCATATTTTAAAATTTATATTTATTTTTTCAGCGTCTCCAAGTTTCAGCGCTGAAATTCCATCCTCCACTCATATTACTAATCCTCAACCAGTAGGAGGACAAGTTAGTATTGGAGGAAAACTAAATTTAGTTACTAGGGTCTCTAATGGAGTGACTTTGATCGTTGCTAGCGAAAGAGATGGCATTACAACGAACACGCTCCTTCCGGATCCTACTCCTACGCTTACTTTCCAACCAACGTTATTAACGGATGCAGTTTTAATGAAAGATATTCCTAAAGAGACTGTTACTTACAGTACAAAAACTTTCCTCACAACCTATACCTTTTTTACAACATTCTTCTCGGATAACGAGCCTATCGTTACTAGTTCTGAACAGGTTATCACTAATCTTTTTACAGCCCCTGTTACAGTTACGCTACCCCTTTCTAGTAGTATCTCGATATTACCTCGACCCGATATAAATGCTCAAGCTGCTGAAATGGTTACTTTATTCGAAACAAAAGAGAGAGTCGTTCCGAGTACACGTTACAGCACGTCTACATTTTACGCTACTTTATTCACTGGACAAGGTTCATTTGTGACTCCAGTCGAAGAAGTGCATTCTGACGTGGTTCCAGTTACTGAAACATATACCGTAACACGAACAATTGCAAAACCTTTACAGCCTTCCATATCTCGCCTTACTTCCATAGAAGATAGGATAAGCGCCGCTGCCATTTCACCGGTGACGACAACGACAACACTGTTTACCACTTTTACAAAGTTCCTCACTCAGTTAATAGGAACGAATGCAATTGTCAAGAGCACAGAAGAAATTACATCAAGTGTTTTAACGCTCACTTTTCCTCAAGCTATTTCACCAACTTCTGCAATCTCAACAATACCTTTACAGACTTCTATTACTCGCCTTACTTCCTCAGAAGAGAGGATAAGCTCAGCTCCTAATTCCCCGGTGACTACAACAACCACACTCTTTACCACTTTTACAAAGTTCCTCACTCAATTAATAGGAACGAATGCAATTGTCAAGACAACAGAAGAAATTACATCAAGTGTTTTAACGCTCACTTTTCCTCAAGCCGTTTCTCCAACTTCTGCAATTTCAACTATACGAGAAACACAGCTTCCAATTCCGGTACCAGTTTTCACTACCAGAACAAAATTCTTGACTACTACGAATTACATAACATTTTTCGTAAATGATCAAACAACATTGTCTCCTATTGAAGACGTAGTACCCGTTGTAATTACCGAAAGAATAGATCAAGCGGGCAGCAAAACGATAGACACGAAATTCGCAGTAAAAACAGAAAAGACTACCCCTCCTCAAACTCCCACTGTTGCATTAATTCCTTCCGTCAAGACATTTTACACAACGTACACCTTTTTTACAACACTACTTCGAGACAACATCCCCACTATCATCACTCAGGAAACTGTTTCTACATCTTTCGCTACTCAATTTGTACCTAAATCTTCGACTTCTGAAATCTCAAAACACTCTTCATCACCGGATCTATCTACTTTGACATTTTTTACAACGCTTTTCAATGGAAACGAAAAGACAGTGATCTCGAGCGTAACTGTCTTGTCTGACTTGAAACCATCCACAGAAACAACTCCAACTAAAGATATTCTTACTCTTATCACTACGTACACCTTCTCGACAACTCTCTTACAAGGTACGGACACAGTGTTGAAATCTAGCGAAAGTGTCTTGATTCAAGTTAAAACTCATTCTCAAGAAAATATTGTGCCAACTATCAGCGAAACCAAATCTATTTCCCCAACTTCTGTAATCTCAACGATAGTTATACCAACTATAATTGAGAGTAGTAGCAGTTTCGAAAGCGATACTTTATCAAGCAGTTTCTTCGTTAAAGAGGAACCTAGCCTGCAAAATATCCAAAATAAAGCAACTCCAGAAATCATAGAAATTAAAACAATAACATCAACTGAAAATAGTATTTCAGTAGCAACAGAAACTAATCCTTTATTAGCAGGAACTTCTACTACAGTCAATGGTTCGACTATAGTTTTCTTCTCTGAAATTCATTCTGAATCCCCACCAACTCTTACCATCTCTTCTGATGACGTTGTTCTCACAGATGCATCGAGTACAGTAACAGATTCTGGAGAAATAGCGAGTACTTCTGATATTGCTGTAGAATCGTCAAGTGTTGTAACAGATGAGTCAAGTGTTGTAACAGATGAGTCAACAATGATTATTGAAATCTCAAGTAGCTTACTATCTCCATCGCCACTTTTCGATGAAACACAAAATATAACGGAACCGTTGACTTCGACAGTTGTATTATCCGAAGAGACAGAATTCGTTGGTGCTGATAATGTTACTACCACGGTCCAATCCAATGGTACGTTGGTATTGATAACAGGAACAGATGGTGCAGTAACACGTTTGACAGAGCTTCCTCTTCCGATATCTCCTTCGAGTATCGAAACACTAACAATCACAGAAACTGCTACTAGACCGGGTCCTGTTTTTGAATTAACTGATTTAATATCAGGTAATTCTAACATTGCAGCTAACATCGGAGAAGCCATTAAAGGAATACTAAATAAATTTGCAAAGAATAATACAGTTGCACCTCAAGGTAGTGCTATTCCATTAGAAAACAGAGAAAAGCCACCATTACCTCCGAGTGATGGCATAACAGTGAGCAATGCTGAAGAACCCACTTATATTCCAATAGGAGCATTGGGTCGAAGTACAGAAGAAAAACACCTTGTTCCAATTCTTCGACCGTCGGTCGTGGCCGGAAGTGGTCCTATTGGTAGGATACCAGGAAATGATGTTACTATTATTGAAAATACGCATACCCCAGTAACTCTATTCACAGGTCTAATCATTCCCGGCTCGGAATATAAGGATCCCATTCCAATACAACCGAAACCTGAAGAAAGTCTTGAAGTTCCTAAGATTATTACAGACGAAACAATATTTATTCTACCTACGAAAACTGAAATTATAAGTCCAGCAACGAACAGAGATGACGTAGCACCCGTAGATTCGGAAACAACAGTAATTACAGGAGAAGAAACCACGTTTATTGAACCCATCATTCACGGAACATACCAGAACTCTAACTTACAACCGTCTTCAAAGGAATCTTCCACTGTTAGCGTTAAAACAATCTTCTTCGATACTAAACCGTCGATATCTGTCATAAATTCTATTCCAACTTTCATCACACCAATTTTACCCATATCCATACATTCTCCAGATATCACAACCACTGAGGGATCTTCCATAAAAACTGCAAAATCGGAAGAAATCACTACGATCATCATTGAAGATTCAGCAACATCGAAAGAGCCAAGTGTCACTAAAGCTTCAGAAGAAAGTAAAGCTACTGCACCTATTTCTACTATAACTGATACTTCTACCACAATTTTCTTTGAAATCCCACAACCGAAAAAAGAATCCGAGATCACTCGTTACGTCACCAGTGTGGAGTCTACAAATCGTGTCGTCACGTTGACTACCACCACGATTTATTACACAAGAGAGAGTCCGTTAACTATATCTTCTATTTTGACGACAACGGTACCTCCCAGGACTTTTGTATCCACTATTATAGGTACTAAAACCATCTTAGGAACCTTGACAGAGTCGACAGAGTCGACAGTTTCAGTCAGTAAGAGCAGTAACATTGTCACCACCTCGGCATCAGATATTACGATCAAAGCAACGACTCAAGCACCTACACCAACTATAAAAACTTTTGTAGCACCGACTAGACAAGTCACTCCAGCGGTTGCAACAACAGTAAACAGGATCCGACCTATATTATTAGGAAACAGAACTTCATCCCGTCCAAAATATCCATTTACCTTCCCAACTACCACTAGGCCTACGGGAACCACCAAAAGATTTAAGTTGCAATTCAAGCCACCAGCTAGACCTACAGAAGTTACATCTCCCAGACCAAGTGGACCAAAAGCCATACTGAAGTTCCCAACACCTAAAACCACCACACCACCACCTCCTACTAGAGCAACACCACCTACAACACGCAAACCTTTTAAAAAGAAGCCGGGACAGAAAGTAAAACACGATGAATGTTATCCAGAATGTAGACCAGAAATTAAGGAAATGTGCAAGAAGGTCAGAGGTGAATGGAAGTGTGTCTGCAGGCCAGGATTTGCTAAGAAGAAAGGAAGTAGAATATGTGAAGGTAAGTATCATAAATTTAAAATGAACTTAAATTTTATATTTTAAACACACTTATTCATTTCAGAGAGTCAACAGTTCATGTTACTATTGCGCGTTGTTAAAGTCAACAATGAAACTGCAAATTACAAAAAGGAATTCAACAACACCCTTTCTAAGGAGTACAAACAGTTTGTGGGAATCGCCAAAAAAGCGGTGAGTATTTAACATTATAAAAAGTATATTATTAATCAGTACAGTATACTGATGTACAATACATCTTTGTGGCAGCTGGACGATGCTTACAACGTTACTGACATTAGTACCAATTTCATCGGCGCTGATGTCATCTCTATCAAAGATGGCTCCAAGCCCGAAGGAAGATCCGTACCAGAAGATGGACTGTTGGTCAATTATACAATTCAAATGACTCGAAATTCCCCTGCAGATGAAAAATTACTGAGACAACAACTGGAACATTCTCTTCGTTTGACCAACTTTAGTATAGGTGGAAGCGAGCTCTACTCCAGCGCCATCATCGAAAATATAAGAGGTATGCCTTAAAATTCCGATCATGCGTTAAGAAAATCGATAGTGTCACACGATTTCTCTTTTTATGACACACAAGTTAAGCCCTATTTACTTAATTTCATCACTTATGTGTGACCTATAAAGTTGCAAGTAATTACCTTCTTATTAATAAACTTGCGAAATATAAGGCAAGAAAAGTGACATCAAGTGTAAATATGCATTTAGAAACTATCTACAAACTTCTTTTTAAAATTATTCTGTATTGCAGATCTGGACGAATGTTCCGATTCGGAGTACAACGACTGTTCTGGTAGCGCCATTTGCATAAATAAAAGAGGATCTTATGAATGCAAATGCAAAGAAGGTTACGAAGATCAGGATCTGAAGTTTCCTGGTAGAATATGTTCAGGTAATTATAAATACGTTGCGTTGGAATTTTTCGGAATCCACAGTGAACATGCAGGAAAATATCCATTGATATAATTAAGAAATAGAACTAAAAATTGGGTTAAGGTGTTAATAGTGTTATGTCCTATTTTAAATATATATCAAATCATGTGGAAATTTACGGTTTTTGATACGTAATACACAATGATGATGAGATGATGATGATGATGATATTCGAACATAGATGATAATTGAATATAAAATAATGACATTTTCTTGTGTCATGATTCTGTATGAGTACAGTGACCATATTTTTTGGGGGAAAATAAAGGACATATCGATGAAAATCAAAAAATACCTTATAAAATTCATAAGTTTATAACATTTATTACGAAAATAGTAGCATACAACAATGCATACATTAAAATTTTAAACAATCTGAATTATTACACATACACACATTGTAAAAATTTAAACAACATTAATTTTGATACTTTTCAGTAGAATTAATTTTTTTATATAGCGCCGTTTTACGCTTTAAAGTCATAAAATTCCATACAGTTCATTTGAAAGTTGTATTTGATGGAAATACATGCTTCTAATGTGCTTACTTTTAAGTCAGTTTTTTTATTCGTCCACATATTATTCACCAATGAAAATATTCGTTCGATGGGGGCATTAGATCCAGGGAGACAAAGAAAATTCTACGATTTTAGTTTTTACAAATGTTTTTGAAAACAATTTCTTTTGCTGTAAAATGTTCAAAAATCTCAATCCACCTTTGATGGCAGGGCTGGTTATTCTGTCGCCATTCGTCGATCTTTTCGTTTGTGACATATTTTTTTACACATGAAACTTCATCAAATAATTCACCATCGAGTATATTTTACGGACCAATGATTCGAAATAAAGATATAGCTTTCCTCAACTTTCGCCCACAAAGGGACTTCGCATAATGTGACCCATTCAAACATCTTTATTTCAATAAAAAACATGCCCCAATTATTTAGATAATCTATGCACATTTGATAAAATGTGTACACAGCATCATTGCATTTTTTGGCTTGTATATTTTTTGATTTTTCTAATGCTAAAACCACTTTTCTAATAACAATAGGAAGAAACCCCTCATTTTTTCTTTCAAGTAACTTTAGCTTTAATTAACAAGTGTATCGTGCACCAACTAGAGAGTTAAAAAACTATCACAAAAATCCCCATAAGAGTGTCCACCACCCCTTGGTACTGTCAGTGGGCCGTTTGGTTGGCGACACACTGCACTACTGCGCTCTATGTAACAATGCAACACTGGTCGTGATGGCGTATACAAAACTAACTTGTTCAATATACTATTAAAAAAATTTTTTTAAACTTTGTGTCAACTTTACAAAATAAAGGACAAAATGCCTATTTTAGAAAATAAATAAAGTTAAAGGACAGAGCAGTGAAATAAAGGACTGTCCTCTTAAATAAAGGACGTATGGTCACTGTATGTATGAGTCATACAAGATGAGTTTTAGTAAATTATATTTCATTTCTATAATATTTAATCTTAAAAGTTGATTCATTTGCATATAAAGAAGAATCAGGCTCTAAAAGATGATAAAATAATCTTCATTCATCCATCGAATATCTAATATGAGATGAATTTACCATTGTTTATTATTCCTTTTGGGCTATTTGCGGCTTGTGAAGGGCACTAAGAGGATATCACAATGAGTGGACTTGGTAGTCAGGGACGTGTCCCCTCATTGTGAGGTCCAGATTCGATTCCGTATCACCAAAGCGATCGGCTGACCATAACTTTTTCGGTCATCTCTTTGATGAGACGCGAGTTCGTGCCTCACGAACGTGCCTCACATTTCTTCATGTGTCTAGCAACTAAATTAGTACCTAAATGAGGATGCCTCCCGGGAGGCATACTTCGCCTTGTTAGACTGACAAATTGTTGCGTTGCCTTACTCCATCTATAAAAAAAAATCAATCAACTAGGCCTAAATCTAGTAAAAAAGAATAAAAGATGATAATTATATTAAAATTTATAACTCATTATCAGAAATAAAATTATTAATTTAAATATTTCTAAACGTTCTTCAGGTGAAATTAAGAATTGTGATTATTGCGGTGGTCGTGGAGATTGTATCATGACAGATGACGATGAGAAGATTTGCAGGTAAGATTAAATTTCAAGATGAGGTAGAAAGTTCAAAATTAAAATTAAATTTCAAATGTATTCATTAATCAAACACTAATTTCAGGTGCCACAGAATGTATTTAGGTAAACAATGCGAGATTAATGGACTCGGTAAGTGAAAAAAAATTGTTTAACTATAATTATTTCCGATATGTATTAAAATTAACTTTTGTATCCATAGTTATTGCTATTGCTCTACCTATCGGTTTGGCATTCTTGATTCTTCTGGCATTCGGTCTTCTTTGCTGCTGCCGTCGAATCAGGAGACAGAAGAAACAGAAAGCCAAATCTGGCAATATGTTCCGTGGTATTGTGAGTCCACTAGCTGGAACTCTAGATAAAAAGGCCATGATAATGGATACGTCTAGCGAAAGCAGTGGAGAGCATCTACCTAGAGTGGGGCAAGGTTTCGACGGCTTTGCTGTAAGTATTAAATTGTTTCCTCATCGATTTTCAAGCGCACATCTAATTTCTTAATCCAAACAGAATGAAAACGGCAAAAGGAGTAGCAAAAAGAGCGATTTAAGCATGGATCGTAGCTTTTCGACTGGCTTTAGTGTTCCTTCTGTGATGATACCAAGAGCACGTCATCATCGAAGTCATAAACAGGTAATCCAAGACTCATTCCATGACTACGATTGGTAGATTTCTGGACGGAAACTGTTTCTCACTAACCAATCGGAAAAACGGTACTTCCTGTGAATTTTTCCTACCGCACATCTGTGATTACTAAAGATTTTACATTATTATTTTTTTATATATATATATTTAATACAAATCTTATTTAATAAACAAAAAACTAAAATATTGTTTAAAACTGAAACTGTACTTCTGATGTACTTTTATACACTAAACTTGTAATAAAGATGATCTCGTCTTTTTATCTGAGTCTTTCTCTTTCAATGTTTCTTAACTTGTCTTAAAGATATCGTTGTAAAAACAGAACTTAAATGAAACTAAAACAGAAATTAAACTCGAGAAAATTTTCGTGAGAAATTACTGTATTGGCGGGTTTCTCTTGACTTAAATTATCTTCTATATACACAGTTTCCAATCTCAACACTTTTAACATCACCAATGTTTTTCCTTTAACATTTATCTTGCCAGTTAGGAAAATTAAGTGCATCTTACTCTTCCTGAATTTTTGTAAGATGATTTCCGAAACGGTGTCGGTAGACTATGGCATTTGGAAATCCTATATGACACATTACAATTTTAGGGAAGTTAAACAATTATTACGAAGTATTATATTATAAAGTTCAATTATACATTCCTTACTTAAACATTTCTTTGTAAAAATCTTTACATTCTACCCTTGTGAATACATTAATCACGTTGTACACTCTGGATGAACTCTATACTGTACTGCATGAATTGGTTGGTTTTCTACTGTGAAAAAGTTATGGGCTGTTTCTGCCTTTTTATATGCACAAACAACAACTTTTCCGCCCTTCTGGTACGTTAAACATTAAGATCCGATTTAACAGTCAGGTTTACTCTTTAAATCGAAGGTTATCTTCTCGACAGACTGGTCCTGCAAGTGATAGCGGCTTGCAATCTAAGAAACCACCTGTTCTGGATAATAACATGGCAGAAAGCCGATTGCTGAATATTCTAGAAGGTTCAGCACATGTAAGTACTTATAACTTATCTGTTTTTTTTAATCATTGAACGATACTAATTAAATAAATACCAACCAATTGCAACTTTACAATTCAAGCAGGCAAGAGAGTTACGAAATATGAAAGAAAAAAGCAGTTTTGCATCTCTGCCTAATCGTGGTAGGATGAAGAAGAGAAGAGAAAGTGACTCCAGCGATAACGTGAGTGTGAGGTTGCACAGATTACCAGGAATTGCAGATTTGAGCCAGAAATCTGAAATGAGACACAGGCATAAACATGACGTTAGTAAATGTTCATATATTAGAATTATAAGAAATAAATTTAAGCTATAAAAAATTTTTGAAATTTTACAGGGTTACATGGATAGATCACGACCTAACAGCCGGCAGACTGAAGCAAGAAGTTCGGTTTTGGGGATGAATGGCACAGATGATTACAGTTCGCAACTTAGCGAACGTGTTAGAAAATTTTCTCACGAATTCGACAGTAGAACTCGAATATCTCCGATGTCGGATGATCAATCTATAGATCGATCCGGATTTAAGCACTTGCAATCCGAAAGAAGCGTCAGTAGGTCAATATTGGAGGGTGCAGAAGCTCGAAATAGGTATGATTTTAAATTTAGAAGTGTTATAATTATGCTAAATTAAATTGTATATATAATATTGACTTTGTGCAGAAGTTCGTCAGAAGCAGGAAGATCCTACGACGAAACAACAGTTCAACCATCTGTTAAACGATACAGCGTGGCATCAGATTATCATCATTCAAGCTCTAAAGGAAAATCGTCAAGAATCTTACCTACAGATGTAAGTATATTGTTGAAGAACACTATTGGTATGGAAGCATGAATAATTTAGTCAGTAAAGCAAGAGAGTTTTTAAAACTCTTTCTGCCTTGCAGGCACTAAGAGGACCTTTTTTAGCAAGTCCATTATGGGTTCTACCAAGCCCAAAATGGGGCGAATGGGTAATGAGGGACTAAGTTCGACATATCCGGATAGCCCATTCCTGAAAACTTCCTCGGTTTTTATATAACTACTCGACGGCTGTCTAAAATATGTCTGGTACACTGAAATGCTGCACTGAAATGCTATTGTTTTATAAACCCTGTCCCTAGCCACACAGCCCGACCACACTCTCCCACCACACAGCCATTATATGTCTGACGAACCCCTGATGGACATAGAAAAAAGTCCTCTTGGTGCCTCAATGCATAAATTAGTCACTGATTAAAGTTCTTATAGGATTTCGGAACCGATAGAGACGAAGCTGTTACTGATGTAAGCTTCTCCACTACAGCAATAACCAATGCAAGAAAATCTGAAAGAACCGACCTTGTAAGTATATCAGTAACTCAATTATAGCTATAACATTGTATTATTAAATCAATATTATCATCTCTGAACGTTTTTCAGGACAGCGAAAGAATATCAGATAGTAGTTTCTTCTCCTTTGTTTTACCCAAAGTACATTATGGAGGAAAGGTAAAGAATTTACAAACAGTAAATATGAACTTCTTAACTACTTATTAATTCAATTTTGACATATTTTTAGAAATCAAAAAACGCTCCAAATCGTCAGAACAGAGAACAAGGGCGAAATTATTACTGTTACGATCAACACGTGTCTCTAGAAGATGAACGATCTTAACGAGAACATAAAAATTGAAGTGCCATTATTATTAATAATGAGACTATAGAGAAAAACGCCATCAATGTATGGCTACAGGTCCGTGTACCTGTACAACATATAAGCCTATATATCAACTAATATTGTAAACATTGATCGCGTGTTCAAGTATTTAGGCTTCTATACTTAATAAAAGCATAATTTAACGCCATTTTTTGAGCGAAATGAGATGTAAACGATTATAGAATGATGAGTTGTATCTTCCCATATGAAGAGATATAGTAATATTAGTAGTAATATCAATAATAATAATCAAAAAAAAAGTTCTTTAATACTGTACTTGCTAGTCATTTTTATGTTTGTTTTGGCTAATTCGATTTTAATTTTGTTTCCGTGTAAATAATAGGTTCTTCCATATTCGACTTTCAAAATTATTAACAAAAACATAAAAAAATTGTGAACGTTTTCATTGATTATGCGATATAAATATATGTTATGTTAATAAAAACATGTATTTTTTTATTATTACGAAATTAAAATATTAATTGAAAAAAAATTAGTTTTTTTTCCGAAAAAGAAATAAAAAATTATTCGCCGGCAACACTGAAATAAATCAAATTTGATCGGTTTTATTCATTTTGAAAATTTGAAATGTATCCAATCAGGAATGTTTTTAAATTTAAATAAGCCAATCAGATTCATACAATTTTGAATTTTATTTAAATTTATTCAAACTTGGCTAATGTTAGACTATGGTGAAGAAATGACAGAATTAATACCGAAATAATCCATTCATTTTATCTAAAGATTTTCGAAAAATTGTTCACTTCAGTTTTTTCGCAATCTATCAAGGGAAAGGATGTATTTCGGGAGTTTCTGTGGGAAATTTGGTCCTATTTAGGTGTTAGACCCGTAAAAACAATCCGAAAAACCACGTGGCCTGCGTTCAGGAGTTTTATCCACTTGGCCACTTGTGAGCGCCTTATATATAGAGTGTATTATAAGAGGAATCATATGTAATTGGAAACCACTGAAATAACCTATTTAGAAGGTTTGGCCAAGTTTATAATGGGCGATAGGGTAATGAGGGACGAGGCCCGACATAACTGAAAATTTCCTGCGGGTTTTTCGACCGTCCGGATTCAATCCGGATAATAGACTGACTCATTAACCGTCTCGGCCATTTGGTCGGCTTATCGTCTTAGATATGGTTTCCTATTATAGGGAGAGTCGTTTGTAATCGGATGTTTGTAGCATTTATATGAAGTCTACATGAATTTACAGGAGTATTGCTAAATATTCAATTATCCTCCATATTATGTTGCGTAAAGTGGGATGAATTAATATACGTGGTATATACAAGCTAAGTCAAAAGCTTGTGGTACAAACTTTTAGGAGAGGCAGAGAACATAAAATGAAACCATACTCACACAGGAAAGTATAATCCTAACGCCATCCTAATGTGCTACAGGCCTAATAAAGATTTTTTCATCATTTATTGTCGTTATTATTGTATATTAGTGTATCTTAACGCGTCATTCTAATGCGCTAGAGTCTAGCGTATTAGAATGACGTTTCCGATCACACATTCCTATGTGAATACCATTTATTTTATGTTCTCTTTCTTTCCTAAAAGTTTGAACTCCGAGTTTTAAACCACCCTGTATATTATTACAGATAACTGGATAAAATAGCAACGTGCATTGAACTAATATCGAGTTTGTAAGGATCAGCCAGCACACAAAGACACAATCAACTCGAATTTATTTATTCAATCCTTTAGATAAAAAGACTTTTCGAACCTTGGACCTCTTATGTATTATACATTATATAATTAAAATTTTATGACAATATACTTACATAAATGCCAGCCATTAATAAGATTCGTGATGGTCTTTGTGTGATGGCTAGTTTTTGTAAACTCAATATTAGTTGTTCCCGTTACTTTATTAAAAATAACGGTATTAAAGATAGCACGAGTCTGAGAAATATAAACATAAGCAGACTTACGAGTTATTGTTATACAGTGTGTTTATCGTCCATTATAAGTTAATATTACATTTAACATGAAATTGTTGTACAGTGTTATTATCAAGTGTAACCGATCATTTCAATTGGATATAGTAAAAGGCAACGTAACACTTGAGGACTTTTCTATGTTAAACTGGCCCCTATTTAGATGTTAGACACGTGAAGAAAACACGGAAAACTCCAGGCGACCGGCTCGTTGGTGAGGTACAAACCCGGAAACAACAACCAGAGTTTAATAATTTCACACACTTGGGCAACCGGTGAGCTCGATCGTTAGGTTTTTAAATACGATTGTAAGTTCGAAACTTGCCGTATTTATATATTAGCCTGTAATTTTAAGATATGTTTATATATTACGAGAATATGGTATGATCCTGCATCTGTGAATATGGTATGATCCTGCATCTGTGATTGATTCAGGTTCGAATTTGTATCGGGTCTCCAGAAATTTTAACTGATAGTTCGATATGGATGCACGAAATGTTAAAGAATGTGAACTTCGCACTGTGTTCCTGTCAATTCCAAAGGGACGTTACTTCTTTCCGCGCTCCTCCATGTTTTGTAGCACAGAAGGCTTGTACCGTTTTTTTCTGTATTTGTTCATATATTAAACACAGCTTTTTGGTAAATGAACGTACCACTGTACATTCTTTCTTCACTTTTAACACGGAAGGCCTTTTTCCTGCCCATTAAGTTAAAATAGATAGGAAGAAGCCTTCTTAGTGCTGTTAGAAGAGATAACGCAGGGCTCTTCTTATTTAGAAACGAAATAACAAACATGACTGCCCAGGGAGATAAGGACTTGCTTTGGCAGGGAGAACTCATGATGGAGGTTCTGTTATAAGATCGAAATTTGTTGGGTGACCCAAAATATTATGGTGGTCCTAATCGAAAAATTTTACATTAAATCATTGATTAAAATATTTGAAAATGTACACATTTTAGTATATTAAGAGTGTCGTGTCAACAGAACGAAATTTAAATTACGCTTTTAATAGATAAAGTTTAAAAAAAATCATCTTAAAATAAAAGCATTGAATTTCTATATGTTTTTATACTCGTTCTTATATGAATTATTCATTATAAGTTTTTTTAATACTAACTGACGACGAAAGTTTAAACACAATTACCTATCTGTTTAAGGGAGTTGCCTCTTCGTGTTACCTAAATAAAAAAACATCATGGTTACTATCGATGACCTCTATCTATTCATCAAATCTCGACCTAATCTCAATTCCAACCACTGCGATAATTTATTTGAGACACAAATTATATTATATATCTTAGAGAATATAATTAACTTATAATATATATTGTATACGTAAATTATATAGTAAGAAAGTACAATGTGGAGTACAATATTAGCCTGCTTTCCCATAGACTTTTACGCGATGGATTTACTAATAAATGCCACAATACTAAAATGTCACACAGTACTATGCAGTACATTATTATTTTATAGAAATGCAGAAAAGTTTTTCGTATTAGAAAAGTTAGCTTCCTTTAAACTTGTAAATGACGTGGAAAAGCTCCATGACAAATTTTCATCACATAGTGAAGCCTCCATTAAGGGTCCTCACCGCGAACCGAAATCACGAATACTTCCTATTCCCTCTCTGAGGAATCTTGTTTTCTCTTCTACCTTCTTCTTTCTCCACTTATTCCGGAGTACAGTCATGATTTGTCACGTGTAGATTGACTTTACATCCCTCTTGCAAACAGTCTCACTCATTCTTTTCCGAAGGTACTGTACATCATTAGTAACTTTTAATTAAAACTCTATAAAATTGTTGTAACGAATCATTAATATAATTACATCGTCTTAAATTAAATTAAATGTTTATATGTAATACTGTGCAAATACTTTGAGGTATATACGACATTACCGCCATCTGTTGACGTAAATAATCCTTGTCTTCAGGAGGAAATGTTTCAAAGCCAGTTCAGCCTTTCGTAGCTTTTAGTGAGGCCTGATAAAATGTAAAATAACATAATGTAGAAATAAATATTTGAACGTCTGTTTATTTTTACTGTTCAAATAAATTAATAATAATAATAAATGTTTCTAAATATATCAGCATGCTTTCTTTTATTCGTGGTAAATACATACAATTAACAAGCTTGCAAAACGGCATGCCTTATCTTTCTGAAATGGATTGTGGTCTTCTGATTAAAACAGGTTGACAAGAGAAATTCTGTCCTTAAATTTAAACCCCAGAACAAAACCATAGAAAACACTTGTTCTCTATGTGCAACTACAAAAACCCGCGTGTAGATTCACGTTGCAAACCCTTTACTAAAGACAATAACGTGTTATCTTATGGGCAAAAAGGGCAATTACCATAAAAGTTTGGTTCAGGGCTTCCACCTACAGGGAGCCCCAAACCAGTCTTTTATGAAAAAATATTTTCTCGAAGAAAAATGTCTGAAGTCGAACACTATATGAGGCCCTTTAATTTAAATTCGTATGGGCCCAATGAAGCTATAATGCACCACTGACTAAAAACCCATCATTAGCAACTTTTAAATAAAATCAATAAACAGGAAAGCCTGTAATTAACCTTATAGCAAATCATTAACATAATTATGCTTCATGCAGAGTTATTACATGTTTACAACGTGTTAACTTCGCGTGCGTTTTCATGTCAGAATGCGACATTACCGCCATCTATCGACGTCTTGAGTTATTAATTATAACAACTGAAATAAAGTAATATATTATTTTTAACAATTACAATGGGTTTTAACTAATTATTTTAATTGATGAATATAAAACATAATAAACAAATTTTTCTAGGTAAAGAAGTACAAAATTCACAGAAAAATGCGCCATTGTAAATTAATCATTAAAAAAACAGTAAAAATCACTAAGAAACATCAATGATGCTAATTTTAAATAATTATTCGAATAATACTGAAAAAAATTAGTAATTGTCACTCGTATCACACTGCTCTCTGAAAAAAATCTGCAAATTGCCGCTAGACACGACACATCAATTAAGAACGAATGACTATGCTGTTTTATTCTGTGGGCTGTGGCCAAACTTAGGTCACAAACAGATTTCAGCGCTCGAAATGATAGAAATTTATATTAGGCCACTTTTTTAAAAGTTTTTTCCCTTCCTGTGAGCATTAAGAGGGTCTCTTTTAAACAGGCCCATTATGGATTCGGCCAAACTCACAACGGGTGATGAGGGAAGGGCCCTGACATATCCGAATGGACCACCCTCGAAAAATTCCTGGGGATTTATCGATTCCAGATTCAGCAGAGCGGTAGGCTGCCAACTTAACCACTCGGCCATCCGACCATCGAAACTAGTGGTATTTACCACGTCTTTTTTAATTATCTGCAATTAATTAACAGAGATTAAAACAAGATTAAAATAGTTCATATTATTTCGCCTATTTAACATTAAATTAATTAA